TATAATAATTTCTTCAGATTAAAGGACGATCAACTCATTAATGACTTGCTCAAGATAGGCCTTAATTATTCATGGTTACTTTGTCTTGTCATACAGTTAATTATTTTTCAGGCTCTCTTGATTCAAACAATAATGTCAACTTTCACCGGGCGGTTGGTTCGGAAAATGACGTGGGCTTTTCTCATACTTATTTGTGTTCTGTTTTGTTTCATCGGAATTATCACGCTTTGCACTCAGGTACGACCCAAGTAAAACATATCGATCTATGTATGTACGACTATATAAGAAAACTGACGATTACTAATTAAAGTGTGGGTGTGGCAAATATAAACTTGAACGTTTAAACTGTTTTCTGCTTTGGTATCTCTTAAGAATTTAAGACAATGGTCTTGTTCACAAGATTAAACGTACCTATATAAGGTACGTTTATGTATTTCACAAAAAGACTTGTACGCATCGCGCTTATTACTAGCTATTGGTTAGTTTTATAAACTTGATTTTTTTTTTATTTTCACCTATTAGACTGCCTCTATAGCTATATGCTTAGATGTTTTACTTAGCCTTAAGCGCGAGAGGTCCTGGGTTCGAGTCCCAGGGAAATAATAGACAGTTTTTGTCGGCCAGGGCACAGAAGTAAATAAACTACTTGCCTGTAAAGAAAATTTATCAGTGAAACGAACACAGAAATGTATGGCCCTGGCCCCACGGAGGGAAACATGATGGCATTATGTTAATTAAAAGTATCGAATAACCTTTGGATTGAAGAATTCGATATTGATGGGCAAAACAGTATAGTTCCATTGGTTACAATAGCAGCACGGATCGCTGCGGATGCCGGTTCGACCAGTGTCATTGAATTTTTTAAATCGCGATAGATTATTAACTTTATTTGTCTAAATTAAGGGAGGCCTGTATATCCTTAACTTCTTGATGCAATGGCCAGTGTCTAAGACGCGGGCGCCAATAGCAGCAGCTATGACGCTGATCATAACTTTTGTGTACGGACAAACCACCTTCTGCGAAGATGTCTACTTTGCCCTCGACGAGTATCCCTGTGTATTCTTCAGGGTCTGTTGGGCGCTAGCACCGCTCATGCTTTTGGTAAATTTAATAAATAATTACATATTTATAGTTAGATAATTCGTAACTAAACTATCTAGTAGTTCCAGTCTTAATGTGGGCTTTATGACTGATTTCAAAATGTACTTTATATGAATTGATACATGTACATACTGTTTATAAGCAAGTGACGCCGTCACAAACTCGACCAATCAAGAGCGTTTTGTGTCGACGTAACAAATTTAAAAAAAAACGTTAACTTTTATTTCCGGGTTGACTATTTCTAAGCTTATATAACTTAATATTGATAGTATAGCGTACATTTATATTTTTTCGCATTGTCAAAAAGCCCACAAAAGTGTGTTCGCCCCATGCCCCCAGGGGGAAACGGGAAATCACTTAAAAAGGGTCAAATTGAAATTGATGTCCAACAGGTTTTAGTAATGGAGGGAATTTTTTGTCAGAGCACATTTGTGTCGGGTTTTCACTACGGACCAGCGGCTGAGGCGACCCTTGGGTGGACGTTGGTAACTCTAACGCTGATGCCGATATTATTCGTGGTTCTACTTTATCTTGTCTTCAAGTTCAGAGTCAGGGTATGCCATTATTATTTACCAAATTATCCGTTTAACATGCCTTATACAGAGAAAGTAATGATAAGAATATAATTCTCAACGGAATATAATAAGAGCTTCGCTTGGATGGCCCATTTTTACGAATTTAGAAATGTTTAAAAGCATTAAGTTCACTCGATGGTAGGTGAAATACCTCATCTAAACAAGATGTACTGTCGGCCTATTTTGACTTAAGATATTCGAATCTGGAGCTGAAATAGCTAAAATGTTACAAGAATTGCTTCAACGACCGATACATTATGTTGCAATGGTGCTTTTTTTAACGAACAAAACGTAGAGAAAGAACTTAGATGAAATTCCTTTTTCAGAACATCGTCAACGAGAAGTGACTGAACGTCTACGTGTATTTCATGTTAGAAATAAAAGATCTTTCAGAATGACACCATGTTTTATTCACAATTTTTTCAACACCAATTAGTTACCAAAATAAATGATTATTTAATAATAATAATAATTAGTCATACACACATTTAGTTCAACAACATAGGGGTTGATCATTATAGACAACGATGTAAAAAATATATATTTAATTGGTTAAATATATACATTTCATCAGCCTTATCTATAATTGTAATCAACAGGAGTATTTTTACACAAAACAATTTAAATTATAAACAAACGTTTGAGCCGAGCGTTGCGTTATTCTTATACTGTAAATTACGTTGTAATTGACAGTAAGTAATTTCGATGGTAAACATGACCCGACTGCAGCCCAGCACGTGGGCCATCCAGCCAGAGCCTCAAAACCAGGAAATATGCTGAAGACAGAGTTTGTGGCTATTGGCCCTCGTGCAGGTCCTAAAGTCATCTTCAATTTGAGAAAAACACTCCTAAATACAGCCTTGGACCTTAGTAGCTAAAATTAAACATAACTTAAATAATGAACCTTTCATATAAAAATAATAAAATAGTTTTAAGTTATACTGTGTACATTAAACCTAAGTAGATAGACCGCTGACATGTTCATTGTTTCATTGATAATAATTCATACAATTCTATTGCACGATTATTGGTCTGTGTAATAAAATTTTAACGCAATTTCTCTTATTCCCTGAATTCATTCGGACTAGATGTAGAAAAAAAACACAAAGCGGCTTTAAATATTTACAGAAACTAGGTAGGAATATCTTTCGACGCACCCTATATAAGAACCCAATTCGAAGTACCTTGCGTATCATCTCTCACACGTTAGACAATACTCTAGAACTATTTAATAAAAGCGATTTTCAATTGTCTATGTAATTAATGCTTATTGGGTTCAGACGTAAGAAGGAACCTACTAAACCAATGTATGAATAGGTATACATTTTGAATTGGGATCTCGTATGCGCGGATAGAATAATATATTTAGTGCTTTATAAAACATCTCTGATTTTGACATATGAAACCACCGATAAAAAAAATGGCCGATTGTTAAAAACGTACGATAATACACCATTTAATGTTCGTTAGATAGACATTGATATAGTTTTCGTATCAATGCGCTACATACATTTGATCGGATTATAAAATAATTAATTATATTTAGGAACATCACTAATTACAACAAACTAACATTATATACACAAATTCTGTTATATTTACATTTGTCAACGCGGAACTATTGTTTATGGGGCAAATTGTGCATTCAGATATAGTGTCAATACTTGTGAGGTTCAAAACCTTGTCAATTGGTGTTTGGACGTCATAAAATACTATTTCCATCGCAATCAAAAAATTATCTATACGAGATGCGACATATATATCTAAGTGCACTATTTATAATAAGAAATTTAATGTTTAACGTCAATCCCACGTAAGATCACAGCCAACTGCGCTAGGATTGCGTATACAAGTCCAACTAATGACATTTAATTTCGTAATTGCTTAAAAGAAATCTTAGAGATTTAACAGCGTTAGAATAAATCAAATATAGAGGCCTATTTTAAAACTACCCTCAGCTTATTATACCTCTAGAACCAAAATAATTCGAGCTTTGGGTATACTTTTCGTCATTTACATGTGAAATAAATTTAAAATTCATAACAGGGGCGGGACTCGAACCTACCACCGTTCAAACTCTAATAAATTTTCAATCGATATAAAGCAACAAATATGTTGCAATAATCTGAAAATCTGACTAGACCGGATGGATTTTTAATGGTTTAAAAGTGGTTTATCAAAGGTAAATAATTCAAGCGGTTTTTTTAAATTATATAAAATTTGCATTTACGAGGATATAAACTAAGGCAGCATTGTGGTTACAAACTTAAAACTAATGTGCACATGAAAACAAAACAGGACTGCGTTCAGTCTTAGCCTAGAACTTGTAGGGATTTATGAGAGCGTGAGTTTTGGCTCGCAAAATGTTGGCACCACTCAGTCTTTTAAAAAGACTTGTGTAGGTCAACACCCATACTAACTCTCAAATCCCGCGTCAACATTTTGCAAACAAAACTAAGTCCAGTTCTCCGACGTGTCTATGATACAATGATAGAAATTAAAAAACACCCTACACAAGAAAACCCTAATTTTATCTATTTTAGCACTAGAAAATAAACTTTCAAACTGGTAAGGCACTTTTACGACCGCATATACAATGTTGGACGCGAGTCCGTGCAAATAAGGAACGAAATTAAACTACATTTGTGCTGATGTTCACGCGCTCATATCAAATTTGTAAACTATTTAAAACTACCCTCATATTCGAATAAATTAAAACGAGATTTTTATTATTCACAAAGCTCTAGCGAAACCAAAACTCAGTGCACGAAGCTTTTACGGAGTATGACAATTCAAAGAAGCTGCAAAATCGACGATCAATATTTAGAAGTACCTAGCGATCGTATAACTATTGTTATTGCCAATGTATCACTAACTATTACGACCTACCCACAATCCAAAAAAATATAACAATCAAATTATACAAACCTTAATTACTTATATCGGATTTACGATTAAACTAAAACTTATTTTTAGAGCCGACAGTTAAATTGTTAAACTAAGTAAGGAACAGGTTTTAAACTTTTAAAATTGGCTACAGGTCGTCTAAATTTAATCCTACGATTTTTTTTCACTTGGATCAAAAACCAAATGGTGTTTTTTACATTATAACCGCTTACAACAAGAGTAAATTAAAACAATACGCGAACGAGATTTAGAGCAAACACGACAAATAATTTACATGCACAATAAAACAAATATTGAAAATAACAACATTAATGTGAGATCAGATATGATGAAGATTCAACCGTCGCATGAAGGCGTCGCTCGGAAAGGATTTACCTTTGATTTTATGCACATATGCATAGGAACAAGACGCAATTAGAAATTTAGTAAATGTGTTTTCCATCGTTGCCTCCGTGAAACAGTCAAAGCCAATGCTTCGAGCATTCATCAACATAACGTTTTCATAATTCCTATGATGGCAGGACTGAATTGAGAAAAGTATTTAAAAAATAGATTATTTTTTAATAGACCAGACGAGATAAACTATGTCCCGCCAACAAATGGACAACAACATTTTTAGGGTCGCGAATTCGTAACAAAATAATAGATTATGAATTTCCCCAATGTCCAAGACAGACAACCAAGTGTGGCAGTCATTATACATATACAATAGAACAAAGAAATCCTAAAGCTCTTTTTGGGTTACTCATAACATGAACTATCATATTAGAGTTGTTTGAAGAAGTCAACCATACTTGGCTACATCTTGGACGCTGGACCTGGGCATAACATTAAAACTGGACATCGTCCTGACGAGGTATAATCTATTTAACACTTAGGCTACTATACAAACAATCTGTAGTACATTTCTGTCACTCCGTATCACATTTCAAGGGCACACCCAAACCACTGATGCACCACGCTTTCTATAGATTTGTTCTTTAGTCCCCGTTCACAGCCATGTTTAAAACAATTTAGTCTTAGCGTTAACGTCTGTTTAAAAAGTCTAATCCCCGTTACTCCTTGTGAGGGCAAGGGACAAACACAATTTTGTGTCCGTTTAAGATCAGACGTCTATTTCCAGCCCGACCGAAACTAATCGTATTCGAACCCAAGACCTTGTTAGCCTTGTTTGTTGACCTTGTTGTTAACACAGTCCCAGGCAACAAATAAATGTATTTCTCGAAACATATTGCCCTAAAGATTTAGATATTTTTGTCACGGATAGCAATAAGACACTTTCAGAATCATCAATGCACCATAAATATTAAATAGCTACAGAAAGCGCGGGCCAAACATTACACAGCACCAATTCCACTTATTCCTTAACTAACAACACTGTAATTCCATTGTGAAAAGTATTTTAAACAATATAAAAACTTCATCGCATAAATGTTACCGTACCGTTTCGCTGCTAACTCCCAAACAGTATCAACAAATTAATGTTATTACCACATAAAATCTCTACAATTTTGTATAAATTTAACCAAGAAAATTAAATAAAATTTTGTACTTTCCAGAGCAAATCATACCTCCTTAATTTTAAATCATCTCTCGTAAAACTATGTTATTGATACATATTTAGATTTTTTTATATATTTTTTAATTTATTCCATATCTCCTATAACATTAATTAGTAACTGTACAAGACAAAACATATAATACAATATTGACAGTCAGTTCTCTTCATAAATATTATAAAAAATTTAGTAAATAAATTGTTAGGACTTCATAAAATAAATATTTACACAAACTTATATACATACACAAATCAATCACCTCATTATGTGTGTTATCAATTTACCAAGGAAAGTATTTCTAATCAATCTATAATAAACATTATTTAAAATAGACTGTGAAATATAAATTTTATGAATAATATACCCATTCTTAACTTGTGGTGTAACAAACAATTTCATAAATACAGTAATTAAAAATAAAACCACAAAGCAAAACCACACTGAACCTATTATAAATATAGTTATTCGTTGTGCTTGGAGTATGTAGGCACAAAATTAGATTACCGAATCACCAGTCACTGTCATAAATAAACTAAGATTATTAGCACTTATCTACACTTTACAAACATTTACTGGTCCAATATCCAAATCAACACTTCATCCACTTAGAAGACCCAATACAGATACTATTTGATCCTTTGTAACTTTAATTTGGTCGAATGATGATTATTTTGTTCCAATTTACCGCAAAGTACCATCTTGAATTCAATAACACCCAACTGTATGGTAGGTTTGGTCTAAATGGAATCAACTGGCTAAGCAGAGGCGTTATGGTGTTTTGAATTTGGGTTTTTCTGTAGGATCTAGCTTGGGTCCAAGAGTTCATTTCGTTCTATTCAGCTTTGCCAGCTGGTCGATGGGCAGGCAGCGTGTCGTGTCGCCTATACATCAACAAGTATGGCATGCGAGGTGCTTTTGGCTTGAGGACTTGAGCGTCGCTTACTTGTGTCACAGTTGAGTCATCATATCTAAAACAAAGGGTTGATTAGACATTGCTTACGAACTTTGTAATATAATAAATAACTTTGAAAATCAGTTGTGTTTGTCCTCATATAATGTTTATAACATTCGGAGACGAAAAATAATGACATCATTATGAATTTTTTTTTGTGTTATTTACGCAAAAGCAACAACAAATTAATTTATAGAAACGCGATTTACATTAGTACAAAGAAATTTTACACTTGTACATAGCTTTGCTTACGTGTAATCTAAAATAAATTGTATGAAATCAAAACATGTAAAAGTAAACATTATGGTTCAATTTTTACTCCGTCCTTAAAAATATTTTAAAGCACTAACCTGATCCAGCCAGCTTGTCCATGGTAGGTGTCGGTCAAATAGTGCCCCTTAACAGCTTCCACCCCCTCGTGGTATACAACTGCAAATAGCTTGTATAGGCGCTGCTTAGACGTGTGCTTGCTTGACATAATTTCTGCAATTGTATATTATAATTTAAAAAATAAGCCATAATATGGAAAGGTTACTTTGACATATTGAAGCAAACTCAGCATGTGTTGTCCACAAATAAACGATTGATAATAATCGCTTCAGAGACGAAAAATAAATACATCATTGTAAGGTATTTAGTTTACGTGAGTAGTACATAAAACACTAACGGTTTAAAACGCGAATTTTATTAAAATATTTAGTAGAATTTGTTTTTAAATTATTTTAACTACGACCCGATGTGTCGAACACTTCCAGCAGCCGTGGTCACAGGAAATCTACAACTTATTTATTTCGCGTTTTAAACCATTAAAGTAATTAATGAATGTTGTTTAAGTTTATTATAGATTTAAAAATTCGTATAACACGATAGTTTGGGCTGGGCCTAGCATAGAATGTAATTAAATAAATAAATAGATAAAAAGGAACAGCAAAAGAGATAAAGAAATGAGTTGGTGCATCTTCTATTTTCTCATGACACAATATAGTGAGACAGATTTATATGAAGAAGTAAGAACTTACTAGGATCTATCTTTAAGTCAATGGGGAAGTCAATGTTCTTAACAATCTTTGCAGTGTGACCCTCATTATCCAGCTGGAAGCACTTGAGGTGTAGGAGCAGCACAACAGGCAACTGTTCAAGCGATAGCTGCTGCCAAGCATCTGACACTCCTTCGAGTGTATCCTTGCCAGCGAGGAGTTCAAGTGCATCTTTTACTGTGCTTGATCTCTGTGAAAAAATATTATCATATATAAAAAATAATGTTTTATATAGCATATTAGAGTATAGGTAAATTTAGTGGAAATTAAGTGTTTTTTTATCGATAGATTGATGTATTATTAAATTGATGACCAATAGATGATAAAGGAAACCACACAGGTGGGACTTCAATCGGCATTCAGTGATCCGTGCTGTTGCTTTACTAATTCAGCTTCCTATTTCCTACACATAATCACCGAATCTCTTGAACCTATACATACTAATATACAAGCACCTCTCGCGCAATTTTTATTCAGTTACTTGGTAACAGTTATACAAAATAAAGTTTTTCCACCTGTTACGGACATTAAAAATGCTACCCATTCATTTTGAGGTTTATAAATGATAAGACTAAATATCACACCTCGATATCTAGTTGTAATGTGAAGAATGGCTGCACAGCATCTGTGACGTCATGATGGGGGGCACGGTGCAGACGCAGTCTCGTGCGACCGCGGAAGATGTCCGCAACCGGGGTGCGTCGCGCAGACCAGCGGCGCTCCACAGCACCACGGTTTCGAGGACCCATTACCTGTAATTATTGTTTGCATAGTTAGCGTTGAGTTATATTAAGAAGTAACTATTGTTTACTGTCACAATAAAATAAACATATTCTTAAGATAATGAACGCCGTTTGTAATTATTGGATTTCTACAACATTGAAATTTCATTACAGTGTCAGGAATCCAATTATTTTATGTAATATTATTATTTTCTTTCAGGTACACCTGTAGTAGGACGGGTGATTAGTCCATGTTTATGTGATATTAGTAATTACTTCATTTTTATATTGTAATTATATCTTACTTTCCACTCATCATCATCGTCATCTTCTTCTGGTGGTTGCTCTTGAGCAACAACACCATTTTGCCGGCCATTAGTGTCCTTTGGTTCATCTGGTTCAACTAGTTTTATTAACTGAAATAAAAGGTATATGAAGTATTATATAAAAGCAAATATAACGTTTCTTCTGGTTCTTATGTAATAATGTTACAGTAATAAATATGAACAGCCTAGTAGTATTATATAAGTATTATAATAATATGTATTGTAATGACTATGTTGCTTTTTTTCCACTATAGAGCGAAGGAGAGGATATGAATCCCATCTTTCTTTGACAATCTATCTAAAGTACTTGTAATTAAGTATTATTTTTTGTAGGAATCCTTAGTTTCTTAAATTTGTAAAAATCTTGTGTCCAAAAATAATTTTAACTCAAAATGTATTACCTCAAGCATTTCATCATTCAGAGAGTTTAATAAGCAGCCAAGAAACTCCTCAGCATCTTCTTGCCGTCCTTCCTGAGACCCTGGAAAAGGCCTTAGAGCCCTCAACACTCGAAGCCCAGCAGTGCCATCTAGAGGTGGCCCAGCCGGTACAGATACGGTGTTGTTTGTAGTGTCTCCACGGGCGCGGCGATTGGTACTAGCTAATGGACTAAACTCATAGCAGAGTTCCACCCTGTCCAAAACAATATGGTGAATACTTTTAACTACAGGCAGTAATTGAAGAAGCCGCGTATTTCGGACTGTAGTTTTATTACATGAATTGTATACATAACCATATAATTTTAACTGATATTATAAAACTGCTGATTTTGTAGTTTTATCTCAGTAAACAATCAGTGTTGTTTAAAAACAAATATTCTTAAACTAAACCAGGCTACTCATATTCTAGGTGCACCAAATAAGTAAGTTATAACAATTTAATTATGTAATTTAAGTATGAATTATGTTAAACCATTTATTGAAGAATTATTACAAGAAGTAGAAAGTAATATTCTAAACTAGATTAATTATGTAATAGAAATAAAATCAACTTACATGGAATCAATAACAGGGGTACTAGACTTTCCACGGCGGGTCTGATATGGGAGTGCCTTTAACATGTTATAGAATGGGGGACAGGCTATTAGCGCCTGAAGGATTGCATTTACATAGCAGTAGTTGGAACGATTTGTGAGCCCCCGAGGCAGGAGCGATACTGGCCTGTTGTCCAATTGATATTTTGATAGGAATTCTGAAATTAATTATTTATATTAAGTCAAAATATACATTGGCTCTTTTTGATTTTTAGTTTAGCCCTTAAAGAGAGGTTTTGTGATAAATTACAACAATACATATTTAAGTATTATTATTGATTGTATATGTACCTCCCATTCTGTATGAATTTGGGTCATCACTAAACGGCGATGGTTGCACAGGTACTGCTGGCGATGTTTCTTTCTGAATCGGACCATCACGAACTTCTGATGTAGTTGTCGTGGGTTTAGCCACAACTGGAGCTGCAGGTGCGACGCTAGCAGCATTCACCGACGTCTTCTCAGAATAGGAGATAGTGGGTCCTGCTGTAGGTGTTCTTGGAGGAGCTTTTTCTGTTCCAACAGTTTGTAATGGCGATGCATCATACGGTGGCACCTTAGCTACTGGCTTTTGTACATTAGGCGCAATAGGCGGAGTCACAGTCGTTGGACTAGAGGGCTGTTCTTCAACTGTAACTGTAGCCGGCGATATTGTAGTTATATTAGATGGTTTATTTGAAAAAAGACTGGCCCAAGACTTTCCGGGTGCAGGCTGTGGTTGTTGAACTACTGGTGTAGGCACTGGTTCTACTACACGGTTCCGAGGAGTTGGAGGTGGGGGAAAGTCTGACGCAGTTGGAGCCGGAGGTGGAGGCTGAGGAACTGGCGGTGGCTCGGCAACGGGAGCCACTTTGCGGGAATGTGAAAACGGTGACTTATTCGTCACTATAAGTGGTTGTCCTTGAGCATGTAATGTTATTGAAATAGGCATCGGAGCTTTACTGGGGGGTAGCGGTGGTTCGCGCTTTATATGTTCTGCAATCACAGTTCTGTCTTCAGCAGTTTCATTTGATGGTGATCGATTGGCTGGTCCTTCACGTTTCTGTCTGTTTCCAAATGGAGGTTTAGGAGCAGAAGCTGTCTGTTGTACAGGTAAAGCAGTAGGAAGAGTTGGTTTTGTTGCCTGTTTGCCTGTAGAGAAAGGTGGTGTTGGCCCTTTTGGAGTTTTATTAATGATCGGAACTGCTTTTGGGGCAATATTTTGAGTGCTTGTCACTGGTGGAGATGGGTACGGTTTTAATGCATTTTGATTATTTTCCTGAATTTTATTTTCTGTCCAAGTGGGTTTGGTGGGGTCTATTTTTAAGGTTGGAGAAACTTTATCCCCTGTTGCATTGATTGGCTTGCTATTCAAGTCATTTGATCGTTCCTGCTTTGGACTGATGGGTCCTTTGTTTATTTTGAGATCTTTTAAGGGGAGTGCTTCCACACTTGATGCTGGTATAGTTGATACAGTAGACATCACTGGCACTTTTTGTTCTTGCGTTTTATCACCAGTGAAGTTCTTTTGATTTTGACCTTGGACAAAGTTTTTGGCGTGTACGTTAAACTGATGAGGGGTTGTTTGATGAGGTGGTTGCTGTGGTATTGGCAATGGTGCGGGAGGATGTGGGGGCGGGATAAACATCGGCGGCATGTATTCGACGCCGCCTTCAACTGGCGGACCATAAGGTGGTCCCGCATAATGTGCTCCAGCATAATAGGCTTCCACCGCTTCTTGTTCCATCATGACTTCTTGAGAGTATTCATCTGGGGCTTTTTCTCCTGTATCACCTTCAACTGGTATTGGATACTCTGGATAATATGGAGGGTATGGGTAGGCCCCATACACTAAAGGTTGATACATTGGCAGATGGTATAGGGGAGCACCTTGAGCTTGTGCAGCAGGATAATACTGTGGATACGGGACATAGTAGGGGGGAGGTTGCGGTTGTGGAGGGGAAGGAGCACGTTTGTTCCGTCTATCGCGGCGATGGTTACGTGGGGCCCTGTCCACTTGCGGTTGCTGTGGCACATATTGGGGCTGCGGTGGTTGATAGTATTGTCCCATATAGCCGTGGACGTTGACATTTGCTGTGACCTGACTGACGTATACATTGGGGGGTGCGACTGGCCATTGGTGGTGCGGAGGCGGTGGATAAGCGGGCGGCTGATTGTAGGGCGGCGGCGCGTGGGGCGGACCAGCCGCACCCCGCTGCGGCGAGTGGGGCGCCATCTCGCACTCGCCGCCCGACAGGCTGTCCAGGCTGCTCGACACGGTCGTTGGTCCTGCCGTGCTCGATGAACACGATGAAATGTCTATAAACGATAAAATATTAAATATGAGACAGTGGCAACTGCCAATACAATACTAAACATCATTTAAGTACTTGAACTGCGGGTAAAATTAAATTTAATATGATCAAATTTTTAAAGAATTTTTTACAAAGAACTCTCAAAATTTACACATAAATGATAATAAACGACTTTTTCAGCTTTACGGTTACTGTATTTTACCTGTAGCAGTTTCGGTCCAACCGTTTTGAGCGGTGGACGCGTTGCTCGTAGATTTCTTGAACAGCGCACACTGCAGACTGCTCAGTTCTGCTTCTTTTACATCTGACAAGTCTAAGAACTCATATTCCTGAAATACGTCACCTTAAGTTAGAGACAATAAATTTTGCAAATTCACATAAGGAGGCACTATTTATTTTGACTAATAATAGTGAAGAAGAAGGTCGTGGGATAGATTCCCTATATATCATATATTTTTCCTCAAACATGTCTTCGAAAACCTGGTATTAAATGGGTGGCAGGAATGTCAAAATGCCATCAAGGTAACAACCCCCTGCTCACAGACCAAAAAGCCATTTTCGTTTCAATCTGTGGATATCCAATGCCAAAATAGATTGACAGTGCAACTTGCTTTTATATTATATGGCCGGGACATTTCACCCTCCATCGAGTTAACGTCATGATTGGCTGTCCTCTATGATAAAAAAAGTTATGCACAGAACAAACTTCCCTTTAGGAATTATGTTGTTGTTTTATTTCTAATAACATCTTGTTACATTGGGCAAAACACACAATACTAGAAATTCAATATAAATAAAAATTGCCATATACTATTGCTGGATTCTGTAATTTTACAAGGCCAAAGAAAAGCTGATAAAAAGCATTCATGGTTTTGTCTATCTCACTTAAAGATTTAACAACCTGGTAACAAGCTTTATTAAATCAAATTTTATGTTTATAAATATAATAAATGTTCTAAAATATTTTTACAATCCATAAAGATTTCTAATCTTAATGAATTATTTTATTATCAGGAAGTTTAATATATATAATTTGCTATCTTTCCCAATTCATTACAGCATTCCCAGAAACCAGGTTGACCAACCAAACCAATGAAAATAAGTCCCTCTTTCTTTCTTTAACTCTTTATCTTTGATATTTTAATGAATAATTCATTTTTTTTTAATTTCTTCTATTTCTTACAATATCGCTGAGCATCCAACAAAGAAAAGGCAAAGAGTGATTGTTGTCAATATCCAAATTAGTTTAATGTTCAAAATCAAGTCAGTCCTAATGGGTGTTTAAAAGAATTACAATAAAGTTAATTAAAAATAATCAAAAATAGTTATCGATCACCTAGTTTATAGATTGTTCAACAACAAGCTGATGTTTTATTTCTAAACACAAAGCCAACATTTCACAAAAAACATAGAAGCATTAAAATAAGTATAGAGAAACAAAACAATGCAAAAGAAACTAAAATGTTAATAGTATAAAGCTGGACTTCAACATGCTTAACAAATTTGTTTATATTTATTTTCAGATACTAATGACAGAGTCTGTTTGTATCAGCCTAATTAGTAAGATGTAATTACACCATATAGATAATTTCTTTGTTTTATTACTAATCTACATAAACAAAATCCTTTCTATCATATAAGTTGTAGGATTTTTTAATAGTTAATAATAGTAGCAATTCATAATGTTTACATATATACCATGATACAACTAATAAATTAGGTTTAGCATTTGATAGATATTTCAGTAAACACTTAAGAACTTTGGTAGGCCTAGATCTTCATTAAATATTGCACCACATTAAAATAAATATACTAATATAAGCAGATAGATAGGCAACCTTGAAAATGTAGACACAAAGTATGAAGATGACTTTGATTTTAAGAACATTGTACCTAGGTCAGTTGTCAAATTTATAGGTTATGTTCTGCTCTGCTGAATGAAAAATATACGGTATTCCAAACATAAAATACCAACATCATTGTATTATATTTCCAAATGCTCTTTGTGTAAAAATTAAGTATTCCCTTCACCGAAAAAAAAGAAAAAATTGATGAATTCAACTAAGCCCATGTGGTCAATAAAATGATGCAACGAAAGATTGCAAATTGAAATGCCTAATATTGTTTACCGATTTTGTTTAGAACAATCACCAGGAGACAAAGAATAATATTGCAGCTTTTAAAATCTTGCAATAACAAAGCTCCTAAACGTGCAGAGTATTTGGATGACTATAAAATGGCGTAACAACGCTCAGTTGCCGGGTGCCATGTATTGACAAATCAACAAACGACTTTAATATGTTAACCCAGAAGTAACGATATATATTTAAGCTATTATATATCACTTACCTCCCTCGTGCACACATTTTCTGGAAAGAGATATTTTTTCTAATATAATGGCCAGTTTCAATATCACCAAAACAAGAAACAAAAGCCAAACAAAATTAAAAATAAGGTGCAATTATGTAATGCTTACCGTGTTCATAAAATCCATCGCCTTTTACAGAACACCATTACGAACAATATTCCAATGCCGTTTATATTACATAGGTTAAATTGCGGCTAGTAGGAGTAAATATCTTAGAACTTGGAACGGAATCAACGTCGAGGCCATGCACTCGACAGGCGACACATAACAGGAAATGACAAAACCCGCGCCATTTTTAATATTATTAGAACCAATCAACGATCTGGATTGTTACCATTAACAATAGAACTCATAGACAAAAAAGTTTTTACCACAGAATGTACAAAACCCGGAACCTCTGCCTTGGTTATAAAGATAATAAATATAGGCTGTCTGCGGAAAATTTCATAACTCTTATGCATATACTGTGGCATTGAAAAAATATATTAATTAACATATCGAACTTTAAATATATACCTTTAAATTATTTTATATATAACCTTTAAATTATTTTTTTATTAATGTCGAGTTATTGACTAAAGAAATACTTCCCACTTTGGTTATTCATAAAATTAAAAAGTAAAATAAATACAACTTTAAAATTTACTATAATTTATTCGGTATAAACCTTAAATATATAAAACTAGCTTGTGTCAGCGACTTCAACTCCGATAAACTTAAGCTGTTACCCACGACGATGGTCGCGTTCCTTCCCGTCGTTCTTGCAAGTTAATCATAAAAGATAGACATATACAGCGACGTCGTGGACTTTTTTTATGTCATATAAAGAGGAATCATTCTTTAATACATATTATTTGGCTATCGTGAACCGTTTTTGCAGCGTAGGCCACGGAAAAAATAATAAAAATAAAAAAAATATATGTAAAAATTAAACATTATTTTAGAAAAAAAAAAACAACGCGAGCATAGCGGTCGTCTGTTTTGTTTCTCATTACTCTATTTTAAGTATATTGTAATGTAGTTACTCTACGTTTTATTTTTTCTATATCCTTTACCTTAAATTAATAAATTTATTGAACTTTTAAATTTTATATAATATTATTTTATTGGTAAATATTTCATTTTATTTGCTTATGTATGGTTAAATTCATGTGTTACCTCAGTTTTTTGTTTCACCTTTGCAAATCAAACACTTGCAAATTTATTAAAACTGGTACTAACCAGAACAAGTCGGTCGCCTAAGAATATTATTTTCTTTTAAGAGTATTGAGGCTTTTCATACATTCTATGCGTATCTTTCTTGGCATGTGTACGTCGCTTTATCATACTGTACAAACAACCAGCAGAGTTATTAAAAAAATTTCGTCCATAGTGCTTGATGGAAACGGTGATAATATTTAAGATGAGTCAGTCTACCTGCCCACATTATTATTAGCCAAGCTCTTATCTCCGCAAATATTCGGATTGTTTGTCTTACCGATCTAATTCGCCTTGCGACGTGACGCTATATCCGATGTTTTAATATAGAAAACTATTTCTTATTAAAACATTGGGGCAATGTTAGTCTGTTATTTTTTTGTCTGTTTTAGTGACTTAAAAGGCCAATTGCCTTTATACTAGACATATATAGAAAAATCGATTGATGTATTTTCTTATACTGTCTGTCAAACAAATATAATACATTACGTTAGTACCTACGTAGTACACAGTTACATTCTTTCAAATTAAATAGGTATCTTTTTACTTTGAAAGAATGTAAGTAGTAAAGTATGGCTAATAATATGTAATTTTAATTTAAATAAAATAATCTACAGGTAGTGGGTTCGATCCCCACCGGGTCTAATCAATTTATCATCACCACGCAGACAGACGCAAAATTTAATCGCGCTTTCGTTTCGTTTCTGGATTGCCGAATATCCAAAGATATAATAGGTTGACAGCGTATTTTGTTAAGATGTTATACGGATACGCATTTCACCAATTGAATGCCTGTCTCTCTATCATCATAAAAAAATGGCAAATGCATTATTATTATTTGTATTTAAAGTCAAAAGGAAAATATTCCGTTAATAGTTCGTTACCTTATTACTAGACGATGAAGTGAATTATGTATTAACTATAAAAGATTAGAAAGACATATTGATAGTTCAATATTTCTTATATAGTGTAGTACCAATGAAAGTATGATCGCAAACTGAAAATGCCGTTAAAGCTTCTTCTACCCAAGGCTTATGAATAGGTTAGTTTCAAGGCCTTTTAAAAGCGTAGGTATACGCTAATATGTGTCACCAAAATGGCATAGCAACATAATAAAGTAAATGTAACTAAAAATAAAAATATACCACATAAGCTATAGATAATGTAAAATTTTAATAATTGTAATATTATCTGTGGCGAGATTTTGCCGCGCACCGCTCGTTTTATAATTAATTACACTTGTGGCTTATAATTAGGCACTCATTATTCAGGTAGAGAAATTTCTATAATCGTGCCTTGTCGAAAGTTTTATTTATAACAGGAAATTGCAAAATGCAGTGACTACAAAAGAAAAAAAATACTTCGTCAGTCTGTGCAAATATATTTTTTTGTTTGTTTGTTTGGATGGGCTCTCTCTCTCTGCGGGAATTGGAAAATTCAATTTGTGTCAGAGCAAATCTCGAAGAAGGCTACATAATATCGCGCTGCAACTATTGGAAGCGAAGACACAATTATTCACCTTTGTGGGATTCCGTTGTTTACGCTGCGAAAACGGTTTAAGTTAGTCAAAATATATATATATGATTTTTCTTTAAATGACCTAAAAAATAACCGCGACAATATACCTATGACTCTTGTGTATATTTAAAGATTAACTTGAAAAACGACGGGATGCGGACGTCGTCGTAAGTTGAAAGGTTTGAAAAACAAATATTGATGACCAAAATAAGTATTCTAAGCGGACGAAGTCGCTGACACACACTAGTAGTTTTATAAATTTGCACTAACAATACAAAAGCTCAGCTACTTTATATTTATAAATTTTTAATCAACCTTATATTATATGACCATCACGTTACAGAAGGAATCACGCGTAATTTTATAATACCCTTTAAACCTCAAATGAAAGGGATCAAATTAAAAAAGAAATTAAACATCAAACGGGGCTTTTGTAATGTAATCTCACCGAAATTATGCCCCTTGTAATTTGCCGTTATCTTTTATCTTGATTTTCACCACATATAATTCTGTTTAATGCCTTCATTTTCTATAGTTAGTCTAGATCAGTATGTACAACGTTGTACTTAGTTTTTTGATAAATATGTCAGGAGTAAGTAACCTCAAAGGTGGTTTAAAACACATCTTACACAATGAGAATATTTTCTAATACAATGGCAAAGAAAAAAAGTTCGGTTACACTTTTGAAAAGGCGCTTAAAATTCTGGAAATTCTTAAATACTGTCTATAGTTTACGCGAGTAGTACACATTTAAATAAAACACTTTAACGGTTTAAAACGCGATATATTAGTTAACGTTATCACGGGGAGACTGTCCCCCCGTGACCACGGCTGCTGCAAAGCATCCGAAACATCGGGCCGAAGTTAAAAATCATTTTCAAATAAGTTTAACTAATATATCGCATTTTCAACCGTTAAAGTGTTTTATTTAACTGGAAATACTTCTTTAAAATCTGCGTGGAAATTTTTGAACATTTTACAGTCCTATATATTTATAGTATTTACTAACTCTTATAACTTAATTTATTAGATGTTTCCATAAAAAAAAAACACTAACTACAGCTTGCTAATCTATAAAGCTACTAATATTATAAAGCTGAAGAGTTTGTTGGTTTGATCTAAAAATGACCGCTACAATAAGATTAACTGGCAAGAACGACTCCGTGATTAAAAGCTATAATTTATTAAGCTCAGGACGTTGTTTGCAAAAGTAGATAATATGATGTTCAAAATAACGACTTCTAATAACATTCAAATAACTGTGTGTATATAATATTGAGTGTTGGTTTAACTTAATATATAAGACTAGCTAAGACAGCGACTTCGTCCGCGTAGAATAGTTATTTTGGGCATCCAAATTTGTTTTTGCAAACCTCTTTTATTTTTAATCTCCCCACATCACATTACATCTTTATAATTTTTAAGCTCCCCACGACATCGGTCGCGTGCCGTCGTTCGGGTCCCGTCGTTCTTGCAAGTTAATCTTTAAAGATAGACATATAGCGTCGGGCACATATTTTTAGATCATTTAAAGAGGATTAATTCTTTCATACATATTTTTTGGGTGTCTTCAACCGTTTTCGCCCCGTACGCATCTGAAACCCACAGATATAAAAAATTTGCCCCATTTTGTTCACATTTCCCGCTGCATCTTCGCTTCTACTAGTCACAGCGCGATGTTTTATAGCCTAATAGCCTTCCTCGATAAATGTTCTAACCAACACAAAGAATTTCTCAATTCGAACCGGTAGTCCTGAGATCAGCGCGAAACAAACAAACAAACTCTTCAGCTTTATACTATGTTAGTATAGATATAGATATTTAAAGATACATCTTCATTAACTTAAAAGGAAAGCTCTCATCGTAATCAAACGGAATATTTGCATAGGAATTACTATGTATTTTAAATGATGACAGAAAAATATTGGCTGTGTGTCGCCTTCTGTCTTCTTGGCGCTACGTATACCTTTATTTTCTGAACTACACTACTCACTCTTGGTCCTTGGTCTCTTCAAGCAAGACCTCCAAATGGTCTTGCACTTGGTAGATAATAAGATAATTAGTAACAGATAATAATGACAACAGATTAAGGGTGGAAGGTCATGGCCCCTCCTCTTCTTGGGGTAGCTAGGTGATTAGAATTATAGTCTCTTTATTCTCTACCAAACCAATTGAATACCCGAAATCAAACTTTGGTCCTCTTGTGCTTAACTCAAAGATTTATACTTGACACTATATTTTTTTTTCTGATCTAACAAAAGATCAGGTATAGGTAGGTATATCATAGTAAGTTCAAGATACAACGATCGTGGGTTCGAGTCTAGCGCGTGTTCCTTTAAAACTCTCGCAAAGTTCTCTTCTATACTTAACGAATTCTAGCGCCTCTTTCTTTTTTTAAAGTCAATCCAAAG